AGTGGAGAAACAGCGACGATAAACTCAAGTCCATCCAGTCAAGACTGGGTGACCCAAAACTCCAAGCATACGTCCAATGCTTTGATGACCTTCACAAAGAATGCAAAGACTTCATTGAGAAAAGCAAAAAAGTCCTCAGGTAGCGCTCCTCGATGCGCTTCAAAAGGAACAAGGAGCAAGGGAGAGGGCCACATCCGAACTAGGTCTTCAATCACAAGCACCTTCTTCCCACCATTTGAGGAAAGCCTCCTCCCTCCATCCCAAACCAGCTAGGTTTCAAGCAGGTTCCAGTGTCTTGCAACACCTCTTTCAACCTCGAAGACTTGGGAGACGAGAGCCCAGATACACGGGTCAAGGCCTACATGGATGAGCAGCACTCGCTACTTAGTTACTTAGAAGTTTCCCACAACCAGGGAAGCACAGGGATGAATCTCAACTACAGACTCTAAACAGTTACGCAACTGACATTGTACGACTTAAAATACGAGATTCACTTCCCATCAACAGCAAACCTTCCCCAACTGATGTTGTATGTACTAAGGTCCGAGACTCTCTTCCCAGAATCAGCAACCCTACTTCAACATCTCATGGTCTGCCGAGCGAGCAGATTAGCCCACCAGTGATCACAACGACTTCTCGACAAGTAGACATGCAAGCAACGACACCTGCTACACTCAATCCACATGCAGTACCATTCCAGCTACAACCTCCACACTACCTGAGCTCTCAGGCACAAGATAACCATGGCCAGCCTACACAGCAGCGTGAAGCTCCGTCATCGTCTCTGGAATGGCAGGACAACATCCTCTGTAAGCACTGGGAGGAACACTACGACCCGTCATTGATATACAACCCGAACCCACCCTCTACATCAATGCCCCTTACCCTATCCACCTCTACAGATGATGCAGACTACTGGAGAGAGTTGGTCATAAGGAGAGGAAAGCTAGATTTGGCCTCCAACGGGGTATACAAATTCTCTGACGAGCCAGGCAGTGAATATCTCCTCTGGAAGAAAATTTTCCTGCACATCATTCAGGATGCACACCTGAAACCCGATGAAGTACTTGTACACTTGATAACGTGGCTAGGGCCATGGTCTGCCAAAGCAACGAAGGCACTTTATGCCTCCCACTTAGACAACCTAAAGGCTGCCCTACGGTTGGCATGGAAAAGACTTGACGAGCTGTATGGCACTCCCACAGCTGTAGAATCAATGCTCTTGAACACCCTCCACAGATTTCCTAAAATTCTTATCAACCGGCCTCACCTGGTCACAGAACTCTCTAATATACTTATACAACTGAAAGCAGCACAATGGGATCCCTGGTTACCGGGACTCGCTTGTCTTGACCACGTCGACATGCAAAACAAAATCATTCGAAAACTCCCACAGGTGCTAATTGAACAATGGCTCCAGTTGTCTGATGCCTTCATGGCCAAGGGTCGCCACAACTATATACCCTTTATCCTTCTCAAAGAATTCATGGCCCACCAGGCAACAGTGTGCAACACCCCCAGGCCCTGCAGACTCAGAGCTGTTAGTCCTCTCAATGAAAAAAGATACAACAGCAACTATATACTATCCACAGGCCCTACACCCACTGCAAGGGAAAAACCCTTCATGGTGGCCATAAAACCAAGATCGACTCCTCATCCATACACAGTTTGGGAGAGAACTCATCAGATACAACCCAATTTAGATCTCCTACTCCAAAGAGAAGCCAGTTTTGTCCTTTGCACCACACTCAACATTCGCTGAACAGGTGCCAGGGGTTTGCAGCAAAATCCCTGTCCAAAAGGAAAGAGTTGATAAAAGAGCTCCAATTCTGCAACAAGTGGTGTGAATCCAAACACTCGCCCAAATACTGCACAGCTAAAGTGCAATGTCATATCTGCAAGTGACACGCACCCGGCCGTACTGTATCCAGACACCGATCCACCATTGCAGACATCTCATAGCCCTCCTTTAAACAAGGAGCCTCAACATGCTACAGAAGCACACTCAGAGCCAGTAATGAGTGTCAATTGCATAGTGGTGTGCAATGGTACATCAGCCCCTCACTCGTGTCATCAGATCTGCTTAGCCAAAGTCTATCCAGATGGATGCCCAGAAGAAGCAGTGAAGATGTATGTAATATTGGATCCTCAAAGCAACTGCTCACTAGCCAGGTCCACATTTTTTGATGTTCAGAAGGAAGAAGTGAACTTCATGATATCAACGTGCACCGCACCAAGATGCATGGCAGGGAGGGAAGCTACTGGACTCTGTATAGAGTCATAGATGGAAGTTCCCAGTTCCTATTGCTGCCTGTGCTGGAATGGAACGGGATACCAGATGACCGCAGCTGCATTGCAACATCAGAGGTAGCTAGCAACATACCTCACCTGAAGCATATGGCTCATCTATTTCCCATCCTAGATCCTGAAGCCAAGATTTTGCTCTTGCTGGGATTTGATGCCTGTGTACACCTTAGCGCACACTGAAGCAGTCAGAGGCCTGAGATACTCACCCTTTGCCTTCAAGACAGACCTGGGTTGGGGAATCTCAGGAATTGTCAGTGTCAATTGGATGCAGACCCCAACCCAGACAGATGCCTTAGCACCATCCATTCCAACAGACTTCTGACGTCCTGTAGCACCATTGAAAACAAGAATGCTGTTCCATCCTAAACAACTGCCAGGAACCACCAGATGTCTACTAAAACGCTCTACATGGGCATATGCCTCCGCAACACCCTTTCCAACAACTTCCTGATGCCCTTTGACACCGTGGAAGCAAGAGTACCGGTCCAACCCTAAAAGGTTGCCAGAAGCGACCACCAGACTTTCACCATTGGCACCAAGAGTACCTGTACACCCCAAAAGGCCATCAGAGGTGACTAGCAGTCTTGCACCAAGGGGCTGACCTTGAAGATTGAACCTCAAGCTTTGCATGCTTTGCTTTATTTGATGCTTTACTGCTATTTACTGTTTCTCTTAGTTATATAGCTAACTGTTTCTTTTAGTTATATAGTCATCTGCTATTCAGTTAGTATTACTCTTTACTGTTTATCTTAGTTAATTGCTTTTTACTTAGTGAAATTTACAATTCCAGGCGGGGAGTGTGCTGTCCAGACAGTTTAGAGTTAATGGGATTTGGCATAGTTAGGAATTGTGAGCTGTCCCCTTAAGGGAATGCATCATGGTAAATGTAGTTAAGGTATCCTGGGAAATGTAGTCCATGTCATGTGGTCACATCTGTAATCCTGATTGGTCATTAAATTGACCCTTGTTGGGTTGGGGGAGGCTCCCTCACTCTTGCCTGAACACAGCCTCATGGTGGCAGCTCTACCTCCTGCCTCTGCAACTATGGGATAGAAAGATTAATATCATTTACACTACGATTTCAACTATGCAAAGAATTGGACATTAGATGCATCTTGACATAACTGTGAGTCACCTTGAGAATACCTAATATAATCCAATAAAAGAAACTTTGCATGGAAGAATTTGTAGAGTTATTCTGTCTTTATATTCAGCAAGTGAATCATAAGACAGAATAAGCCCATTCAATATAACCCATAATATCAGCCTGAAGGACTCAAACAAGTTAAGATGATAGCAATGATGGTACAATAGAAATTTCACTGTATGTCCAGAATATAAAAAGGCAGAGATTCAATCATACTATTGCAATCACCATGCCAGCATTTTTTACCATTTCTTGAGAACAACCCTAAACAATACTGAAATGGCACAGTTTTGCAAATAATACTATGGGAAAATAACCATTTGAATAGATTTCATAATTCTGGATGAATCTCGTAATTATAAGACAAGATTGAGGACGATATTATAGGGGATGTGGAATAAATTACTTGCTGAAAGTAATTATGAAATGAAAATGAACCACTATTAGAAAAAAAGGACAGCAGTCATATTACACACTCAATATTAAATGTACTTCAAATTTTATATACTGAATCAATTACCTTCCATTTATTCATCATCTAGTGCTGGGAAGGTGCAAATGGAAAGGGAAGACACTGCTCCCATTCACTCTCATCTACAAATCATTCGGATTACCTTTTTCCAGTCAGTACTTGTGTGAGGAAAAGGCAGAATTGCAGCCACAAGGTATTTTTGAACTCCCAAAATCCCTGAGTATTTATTTTGTTAGCTAAAGCTAAGGAGATCTGGAGTGCATAAAAATCAGGAAGATTTTTGGCAAAGCTTCACCTATATTATCCATCAGGGAAACTGGTAGCCACCTCCCGCTGTATCAATAGGTGGTTAGAAAGATGACCAAGAAATCTCCACTTTTATGCTAAAGTAAATATGACTAATTACCAAGATTCCAGAGATTTTTCCCTTTCAATACATTTGGTTGAAAAAGATTTTGTGAGAACCTTGCACTTTTTGTTATAAATAACAGGTCATTTTGAAACTTCATCTTTTGTTGGCTTTTTAAACCATATCAGCATTTGATGTCCTATTCAGATTGAACAGAGTAATGCATAAATATCAAAGACAAATAAGGAGATGCTTGAATAGTGTCAGCCTCCAAAAAGTTTTCCTGACATCTTTTGCTGCTTGACTCTTGTCTGCTGCCATAAAAATAGCGGGGAAGGTATTGGTATTGAGGGAGGGAAGGATGCTGGAGTAAGATGTTTCAGTGTGAATTAAAAAAGAGGGAATGCTTTCCTGCTTACTGTGCAACTGCATACACTTATCTCTAAGCCAAGGTCAACTGTCTTGGCATACCAGATGTGTGAGAAACCACCTGAAGATGTACCCCACATGACACTATACACACCTGAGATTGGATGACCAGTCTGGACTCCTGTGGGAGGGAACTTGGGATAACTTTCAATACGTAATTTTCATGCCTATTTGCCTCAGATCTTGCTTTCCTTTTGTTGCTATCACTTCAAATCCAGTAAAAGTACTTTTCTCTATTTTAATGGAGTCTAAGGATTTCTTTTTGGATTGTCAATGGAGGCAATGACAAATAGGTTTTCAACAATTTAATAAATATTCTGGCACCAAATTTCTGCTCTGAAATACAGACCTTTGAGGAAACAAACAAGAAATAAGTTAAAAATTCTACATCCAGTGACATAACCAAATTCCAGTATAAAGCTAGATTTAAAAGATTTATCACACAAAAGAGAGACAGAAAAGTTCCTAGAACAGTCAAGATAAAACAATTATTCCACTCTGATTTGTAGCTTCATGCCTTTTGCCTCTTTAAATAACTAAGAGAGTTTATCTATCAACTGGATGTAATGTTACACAGAACAGAGAAGACATTCAGAATGCAATAAAGTAAGCACGTAGGCACTATCATGGTCTGCAAGTTCTTATCCATCTTCTTAAATGATAGGATACTAAGATTGGGTTTGCCTTGTTTGAAGCTAGTAGCTAGAGAACGATTATGTGCTGCAAACTAACATATCTGCAAAGGGCCCAAGGAGATTTTTGTTGAAAATGCATCGGATCCACACCAGATAGTTTGTGAATGGCTTAATGTTGTCTGAAAATGTATGGTTTTGGTGGGACAAAATGTAAGGAATGTACGTATTTTCTCCTTGCTCCTGAATCCAAACTTCGTACTTTACTTCTCTGACCTTCAAGTATTTCAGGTTCCAAGGGATCTGCCAAGATACAGAGAGCTTAGCTTCACTAGTACCTTGGATAGAGGCTTGGCATTTAGTATCTCTAACTTTGCCTGGATAGAGGCCATTGGTCCATTTTTTCTTCTTAGGTCCTGGTTTGGTTTTTACTGTTTGCCTGATCATCTGGATAAGGGAAGCAACATTAATTTTGGTGTCCTGATAGATACGGAAAAGCCATTCTGGGTTGTGGCAACACAGGTGCCGGGAAACCTCATTGCTCTTTATAATGCGATCCTGTTCTGCTTTGTTTAAATGGGCAATTCCTCCTTGATCCCAGGGTCTGTCTGGATAAGTCACAGTATTCTCCTCTTCAGTGTTTTGCCATGAAATGTACTGAAGATCCATGCCAGGAAGGGTAGATAATGTCTTGTAAGGTGTATAGTGTTCAGGATTTATAGCAAAAGGGAAGAGTTCTACAACAGTGGCTCCTCTTGGCAGGAAGAGAGACATCACAAGTTGAGCTCCATGCATACTGACAAGCATGGATGCATTGCTAATCAAGCGTATTATTTCTGAAAATGTATGGTCTTCTATGGAAATGGTAATGGTTTTCATCTGAAATTCTTGGGCAAGTGCCAAAATTACCTCTGCCTCATTTAGGATTAGTCTATTGATTGTTCGACTGAATACTATTATATATTCCTCACCAGGTATTGCTTCCAAGCTCACATTTAGCTTCTTCATCATGAATGTTTTGAACTGTCGGATCTCATTGCCAGAGACCAGGATGTTGGCTTTTGGCCCCTGGGGCTGAACAAAACCATATTGATACCAGGTTGTGATTTTAGATAGACCCACATAAGACTTCGTGAAGCACAGGAGCCGCCCAAGTGTTTTAAGCTGCTCTCTTAGGAGTGGTTGCTTGCTGCTAAGCAATTTGTATAGCTCAAAATGTAGTCCTTCACCCCAACCTTCCATGAAGAACAATCTCGTCTCCAAGTCCAAATCTGGGAACTGCTGCATTGTATAAAAAATTGGAAGGAGATCATCATGGAAAATGTGCATCAAATTATCTGGATTGAACCTATTCATAATCAGTGCTACATCAGGAACAAAAACAGGCTTTGGCATAAACTTCAAAGCCTCAGCAGGTAGTTCTACAAAATTGAAGTATTGGGTATTATGGTCCTCCACTGAGGAGAGATCAAGCAGGGCAGGTTGAAATCTTCTGGAGCCCAAGTTTGGAAGCATGACAGAAGAACTGCTATGGAAGAAAACAAATTCCTCAGCTTCGGTGGAATAACAAAGAGACTCAAAACGGCATATACGGTCAGTATGTATCCTGCCAGTGCACACCATTTTGGTGCCATCTTCTACTAGAGCTTGAAGTGCAGCATGATAATCAATGCTGACCTGAGAGTTTTCCTGAGACTGGCGCATGAGGACTAGCTCCTCTTCCAGCACAAAGACATAATCATGCAGTTTTATATACTTCCATAGTACAGCAGCAACGACACACACTAGCAAGGCGTTAAACACTGCTGCTATGTTCATTCTGGACCCAGGTCCTAGCAAGTGGGGAGGTGGTAAACACTAAGGAAGAGGGATGCATTCTCAGTCTTCTTTATCATAATGGAGCAGAGACCTAAAAAAATAAAGTAAGAGCAAAAACAGTTATAGTTATAACAGTCCTCTATAATTCATTATGTTGTTGTATAGGAATAATGGCTAATCTCCATCTTGCCCTCTCCACTCTTAATACATTTTTCAGTTTTTGTGCAAGAAGGACTGCAGATAATGTTTAAAAATATTCTTTGAAACAGCTGCTGCAAACAGATTCACTCTAATTTTAGACCTGCTCTCTAAACAAAAATACATGTTACGTTACAGATTGATAAATAGAGGCTACATACGAGCAAACAATTTATGCTCTTAAAGTGCTCATATAAAACTTCACTCATGGAAACTTTGATGAAAGAAAGCATACTTATAGCCACATCAACTTTATTTTATTATGCTCAAAACTGGCTATGTAATTTGTTTTTATTTTTGTATCTTATTTCTTGCAGCAAAAAAACTAGCAGAGAAGAAATGAGAATCTTTGAGTTTCAATGGGAAATATGAGCATTTATATATGTATAGAATTATTGCGTAATGGATATGCTAGCCCAATAGAAACATTTTACAACTCTAACCCTGCATCCATCACATTAGTGCCAAAAAACTGCAGATAATCTACTGCAGAAGAACCTGATGGATCCAGGTAGGAAATTAAGTCTCCTTTGTTTTCAAATTATGAGTCTTTTAAAATAGTCAGCTAAAGATAAGCTGGATAGGAAAAAATGGATTCAGTTCCCATAATTCCCCAGCAAGCAGGCTGGCTAGGGAATTCTGGTTCCTTCATCTGATTGATACCAATGGACCACCTTAATAAGGAAGAGAATCCACTGAGTTCAGTGGGAAGTGTGGCAACTAACTGGCTGGCTGGACATAATGTACTAACTCATGGTTTGTTGCAATCATGATTTATTGAACATGTAGAAAGGAGCACATGACATATAAACCTAAATTATACACCATGACTTAGAACTACAATGAATGAATTAAGAAAATGGCTGGCCTAGACCATGAAAGTTTGTAAAAGCTGGCAAGTCAGCATGTAATTTACATTAGGGGTTTGTTTTTTGACAATGTAATTAACAAAAGGGAAGTATCAAGTGCCACAGTGTTTCTTTATTTTCCAAAGTATCAATATTTATTCACAGATAAGACAATTGCAACATGTTTTTGCTTCTCTCTTAAGTCCTGTCTAGATAACTTCTGGTGACAAGCTGTAAGTGTCAATGTGCTGATTATTTTTAAAAAGTGAAGAGAAAGTGGCAGTTTACACAATTATCTCAATGAAAAATATCAACTATAAAATCAAAGTAAAGTCGATTAAACTATCTGACAGGTATACAGTAAAACTACTAAAATAAGCTATAATCTCATTTCCATAAGTACTGTATTTTTCGCATTATAAAGCGCTTCAGACTATAAGACGCACATTAGCTTTAGAGGAGGAAAACAAGGGGAAAAAATCTGCCTCTGCCTCCCAGCATCAAACTGGTATTTATCTGGCTAGCATCCTTGCAGCAAACAGCAAACAGCCTGGTCAGCTTCAGCATGTTATCACAGCCCCAGCACATGGCTCGTCAGGGCTCTGCTCTATTGCACTCACCATTGGTCAACTGAGCTGAGCTGCTGCCACTGGGGAACATTGTAGTCTCGCTGCCGATTGGCAGTTGGATCGGCCTCCCAGAATACCACGAATCAGCTGTTCTAGGCAGTGGGGATTGCCACCTACAGCCAAAACCGCCTATCGCTGCTGCCATTTGGTAGTGACAAACAGCGGCAGTGATTGGTGCGGTGGAAGCAATTCCCACTGCCTAGATCAGCTGATCGGCAGTATTCCGGGAGGCCGATCCAACCACAGATCAGCTGCTCAGCAGCAAAGGCTCCAGCGTTCCCTGGCGGCAGTGAATGGTGGCAGTGGTGACAGGCAGCAGCAGCGAATGGCCACACCAACCCCCTCCCCTGCTGCAATATTAGCTCTCTAACATGCAGACATTTCCACCCATTTTTATATAGTGCATTCTTATAGTGCAAAAAATACAATAAATTGATAAAACTGTGTTTTCCTAACTATGCCCAAATAAATTTAACTGTTAATTAATTAACCAGACTGCATTGATTCCAGCCAATAAGAATCCATTTGGATTTTATGCTAAACCTGATCTTAGCTCATATTTAAACAAACACACTCCACTTCTCTAGAAAGGAGTTCAAAGGGTTTTTCTACATATTAGGGCAATGTTTCTTAACTGTGGCAACTTTAAGGTGTTTCAACACTCAGAACTCCTCAAGGGAATTGAAGTCCACAATTCTCAAACCTTTCCATGTTTCCAAACACTGTTTTAGGTAATAACTGTCTCCCATATATGTAGCGCCAAAGGCAAAATTTCTCCGTTTTGTTTTAAATAAAATTTGTGTGTTAAATCTCCAGATATCTTATGCTGTTGCAACAATTATTGCTTCTCAGCATGCAAATGAGCCGGGGGAAGGGGAGGGTGCCAGGATGGTCTGCTACCGGTTCTCCCTGGTTCAGGCAAACTGGTTGTTAATTTTATGGCTGGTTTGGTGAACTGGCAAATCCCAGCCCTGGCTTACTCCGTCCACCCCCCCTCCCCCTCCCAGGAGTCCCCACGCGGCACATTTTGGATTCCAGGTAAGTGCAGAGTCTGCGCAAAAGCTTGGGGAGGGCAAAAAATGGACCTTCCAGAGGCTCTAAAATGCCAGGAACATTTCTGGCTTCCAGAAAGCCTCTGGAACCCAGGGAGGCCATTTTCCCAGAGGCTTAAGGTAAGCCTCCAGCGCCAGGGGAGGGCAAAAATGCCTCACCCCTGCAGCCTGTTTTCTCTCCCAAGCCAGGATAGTTCAAGAGGCCGACTAGGCCAGGCCCACCCAGCAACCAGGCAGAGAACTGGTTGCTAAATTTTTTGAAACCCACCCCTGGAAGGGTGAGATGGAATGTAGGCTCCAGACATCAAGAAGAATATCCATGAGAGCCAAGGACACTTTGCCAAAATTAAAAACTTTACTAACTGTACTAATAGGGAAATGGAGAATTCTATACTTTTAATTATATAGGTTTACACAGGAATTAGCTACATCTGGTTTTGCTCTCATCAATGCTGAAATGATGTTTTCAATAAAGTTTTGTATTCAGAGATTGGATTGTCTCAACCATGCTTGCTCTGGTTGGGTTCATCAGTTGGAACATTGATATTAGATCAGATCTCTTACAGTTCCATGCAAAATACCCTCACAAGCCAGGGCCCCACCAGGGAGGTATTAAATATAAATAGTAACAATGTATGTTTACTATTTTCCAGATATCTCCAATAATTTAGGGCTGTCCACCTATCAAGTTTGAAGCATGCTTGTGCTGTTGTAGCTATTATCATTTCTCAGCTTGCCAATGAACCAGGTAGGAGGGAAGGATGAGATGGAATGTAGGCTTCTAGATATCAAGAAGTCAATCCATGAGAGCTAAGGACAGTTGGCAAGTATTTCCCAAAACCTTTTTCTCATAACAATACAATGACACTCAATTGGACAATGTGACCTGCTCTAATAGGGGGAGAGAGAATTCTGTACTTTATGTGGGTTTGTGCAGGAATTAGCCAGATCTGGTTTTATCCTCATCAGTGCCAAATTGATGTACTCAACAAATTTTGCATTCAGAGATTGGATCGTCTCAACTTGGTTGGGTTTGTCAGCTGGAACACTGACAGTATGGTTTGAAGCTGATTTATTATCATGAATTACATTACAAGATAGCCCTCAAAAAATAATCATTAATTTAGGACTGTTACAATGGCATTGAAAAAAATGGAAAAACTGTTCTTGCACTTATGACAGTGGAAGCACCCTTACATGCTCAAAATTCCGGCACTAGACAACCAGCATGTATACAATTGCTGAGTTCCTGAGTCATTTGTCATTTGCAACCTTGTAACTGGCTTCTGATAAACGAAGTCAGTAGGGAAAACTGCTTAACAACCACAAGATCCACTTAATAATTGGAGAGATTTGTTTAACAAATGTGACGAAAAGTTTTAGGTGAGACTCACTTAACAATTGCCTTGCTTAGTAATGGAAATTTTGGGCCCAATTGTGAGTCAGAAATTACAAGACTCTTTGTATTGGATGCTGTAGCTTTATTTCTAATTATCATCATTGGGTTTGGCCTGCAAGTCCATTAGCTTTAAGAATAATTGAATATCCATAATGAAACTCTGTCAAAAGTATACATAACAATGATAACAGAGAAATCTAAAAAGGTAAATTGTATACATTTAAAATTTCATGAACTGGACTTCTAACAATAAGCATTAACTATCTCCATGATAGATGTGTGATTCGCTTCATCACTTTAATCAAGCACAAAATTTGAGCTCTATGGAATTTTGAGATTGGATCAAAATATGGCAACATTTAAGTCTGTTTCCTATTCACTAAATTTGCCCCAAGGCCTCACAGGGTTGGATGTCACATCAGCTTAAAAGCCATTGGATACCTTCCAGATGAATTAGACTACAACTCCTATTACTTTCCATGAAGCTGTATTAACTGGGGGTAACAGGATTGATCAACATCTTTGGAGCACTATAGTTGTGAATCAACAATAATCTCTACCTATTGAATAAAATTTGACCACAGAAAACCAAAAATCCCAATCCAGACTTTTGAACTATTCTTCTTTCAATTTGCAGAAGAAGTACAAGTGGCTCAGTGAAAAACTCTGTAATGAGAACATATACATACACACATATACAAACATCAACAAAACATTAAAGTACAGTATTAAAAACAGCCCAAACAGAGAGCAGAACTGAAGAACTGCATGTGCAAATCAGTACATCTCAAATAGTATTAACTCTTATTAACCCTCACCAAGGAAACTTCCATCATTTCAAACAGCTGCAGAAATAAAAATACATGCAAATTAAAGTTACAACCATATACAAAATGCATACCTGAGCATTTGACACTGATTACCCTTTCCTGCTTTTGTTATCTCCAGAGAAAGAGAAATCCCCT